CTGTAGTATTGTAGTTCGTCTAATTCGAATAGGCCTCAATTACTTACAGGTTTAGAATCTATTGTAGTTGTATCTTAAAACACAGGTTTTGCACTAGTAATAAGACTTAAATAAGTTTTTGAAACAGGAAAAACTGAAATCAAGTTTTTACACACATACAAACTTGTTTATCCTGAGAAAATGAATTTTTAACTATTATTATTATTTTTTAAATTTATTTATTTATTATTTGTTTTATTGGCCTTATATTGGCCTTATGATCTTGCATATTAGCCATAGTACGAATTCTTGTGTGTTCAAATTGGGGGTTATCGGGAAAAAAGGGCCAGAGACGACGGTGGGAATCGAACCCACGACCGCGGCGTGAGAGTCTCTCATGCTAACCACTCGGCTACCGCGGTCCCGTAATACATGTATTGAAATTTATTTAAAACAACTTTTTAATGGGCTTAGAAACAAACACCCGGTGAAGATTTGAATAAGGCAAATCATAAATTATTTACCTGAATGAGAAGAGAGAAAAATGGTGAAGCATGATGAAAAATGAATCCTTGCAGTTTGAGCGGAATGACGTATAAAAAGATTAGAATGATTAATTGCGCAATGGTGGAACAAATAGTTGTTGAAAGAAATCTAAATGTAGAATAAGATTTGGAGTACGAGAGCGAGACAGACGAGACAGAGACTAAACAGAAAAGGATTGTGATTTGGAGTGTGTGTGTGAGAGAAAGAGAAAGAGAGAGAGTGAGAGAGAGAGAGAGAGAGCGAGAGAAAGAGAGAGAGAAAGAGAGAAAGAGAAAGAAAGAAATGCGGTGCCTTTCTCTGGATCATCACAAAATATTGACAACAGACTTATATTTTATAAATTCATTTTTTTAATCCAATATTTTCTAGTATTGTATAAATTTATTTATTTTAATCCAAAATTTTCTAGCATTGTATAAATTCATTTTTTTATCCAAAATTCTCGAGCATTGTATAAATTCATTTTTATTTTATTTTTTTAATCCAAAATTTTCTAGCATTTTATAAATTCATTTTTTTAATCCAAAATTTTCTAGCATTTTGTAAATTCATTTTTTTAATCCAAAAATTTTCTAGCATTGTATAAATTCATTTTTATTTTATTTTTTTAATATACAATTTTCTAGCATTTCCTAAATTCATTTTTTTATTTTATTTTTTTAATCCAAAATTGTCTAGCATTTTATAAATTTATTTATTTTAATCCAAAATTTTCTAGCATTGTATATTCATTTTTATTTTATTTTTTTAATCCAAAATTTTCTAGCATTTTATAAATTCATTTTTTAATCCAAAATTTTCTAGCATTTATAAATTCATTTTTTTAATCCAAAATTTTATAGCATTGTATAAATTCATTTTTATTTTATTTTTTTAATCAAAAATTTTCTAGCATTGTATAAATTCATATTTTTTATTTCATTTTTTTTTAATCTAAAATTTTATAGCATTGTATAAATTCAATTTTTGTAATCTAAATTTTTTTTTATATATTTTTTTCACATCCTACATGTATTTGTAAAATTTAAACAATGTTTATAAATGAAGTTGGTGTCCGAGCGGATCGAACTCACGATAGATCGCTCAAGTGGTAAAGTAGCGGCTTATTTAGCCGAAGGTCGTGGGTTCGAATCCCGCTCGTGACACTAACTTTTTTACCTCAACCAATACCTTTCATAAATATTAATTAATTGAATTTGTTTTATGTTCGTACACAAAAGTGGTTTTTTTCTTTTTTTAATTAATATTTTTGTTTTTGAATATTTTTATTTTCCCACTAACTAAATTTTTTAATAAATCCCTGAATTATCGAATATATCGGTGTTCATATTACTGAAAAGGCAAGTACTTAAAAAAATATCAAAATTCAAAGAGCATAACTTTTTTTGTGGAGCAGTGTATTTAATATCTCTTGGGAAAACTAATCCTGTTTTATTATGAGAAATCATTAACGTATATGAGCGCTTCGACTTTTTATTTTATTTTAACAGGATTTCTATGATTTCAATAAAGATAAAATCCTCTTGCATTATGTGAGATTATAAATGAAGTTAAGCACTTTAAATATGATCTAGACTGTCGGAAAGAAGGACGAGCCTTCCAGGGAAGAGCGACTTCGAATTTATGCTTATGTCGTGTCCCGTGTCATTTCCACATCGAGAATCGTAAGGGCGCCTTTCGTGTGATGATTGACCGCAGGTGTTATCTTTCTTCTTCGGATTTCGTTTCTTCTATTTTTATTCTTCTCCTACGCGCCCTGCAAAGCGAGATGAAAGCTCGTCCGGTTTATTTAGCACGTTACAGTTTGTGACAAGGGGTTTGACGCTTTGAACGATTATTCGCCTTGTGGCCTTTTGTTGCAATTTTAACCAAAGATACAGATCGATAATCCTTTCAATAATTCGTGCAACAATTTAATATTAACGAGGATGACGGGTAGAAACGTTCCGCTATGCTTCATATTGACAGGGGGATT